ATTACATATACACATATATATTTAAATTTAACTTGTTTTGGATTTTGGGCCACATCTGGCTCAGGGGCAACCTGGCTCCATGCTCAGGGATCATTTCTAGAGGAGACTGGGGGATCAAATGGGGTGCTAGGGGAACAAATGGGCCAAATGGGCACCAGGGACTTAACTTGGGTCAGCCACATACAGCGTAAGCAGCCTATCCACTCGCTGGACTCCCTCCAGTTCTCAAAAACGTAACTTTTGTTTGTGAAAAAGGGCTAGTCCAGCAGTGCTCAGGGCTTACTCCTGGGTGCGCTGGCATCAAACCTGAGTTGGCCGCATACACCCTACCTGCTGTACTCTCTGGCCCCTAAAGGATAAAAATTTGTCTACTTTTTTGTTGTTTTTTGGGGGGCCACACCCTGTGATGCTCTGGGGTCACTCCTGGCAGTGCACAGGGGACCGTATGGGGTGCTGGGAATCAAACTTGGGTGGGCCTGCCTATAAGGCAAGTGCCCTACCTGCCGTGTACTACCACACCAGCCTCTCAAATTAAAATAAATAGATTTGGGACCGGAGCGATAGTACAGCGGGTTGGGTGTTTGCCTTGCACGCGGCCAACCCAGGTTTGATCCCCGGCATCCCATATGGTCCCCCAAGCACCGCCAGGAGTAATTCTTGAGTACAGAGCCAGTACTAACCCCTAAGCATCGCTGGGTGTGACCCAAAAAGAAAAAATAAATAAAAGAAATAGATTGAACGGATCTATATACACGCCTTCAAATAATATATATAATTGAAAGTTCTTATGCTCTTTCTTTAAACTAGATGTGGAGGGAAAAAGAAAAAACTCTAGTAGAATCAGTACTCAGCCTACAGACTATCATTAAACATCAGTCACACTGCAAGGAAAGCACTAAGGATCTATATGCCAGAGAGGAATTTTTAGTCACTTACAATGGCAATTTAAGCTGATAAATTTGTGAAATTTTTCCATCCAAATTCAAACCCTTACCTCTGAAGAACAATTTCAAGATGATAACTCAACAGAGTGCCAGACATAGTAATAGTAACAATGTTAGGAGATCAGACAATGGAAATAATTTGTGGGAAATATTCCAGAAATCCTGAGGAATAAGTTCTGATTATAATTTCCAATCACTTGAGATCTTATAAATAGTACCGCTGAAAACAATTCCTCCATATTCATGGGCATACATCTGTATCATTCCCACACTATCTTTGAATTGTGAATTGGTACTACATAATAATCAAATGGAAAGAATGTCTTTTTTTTGGGGGGGGACCACACCCAGAGGTTATCAAGGGACCGGTCGGGGTGCCAAGGATCCAACTCAGGTCAGATGCCACTCTGGCCCCATAAATGTCCTTTTATAGAAATTGCTTGCTTAAGGACACAAGGACTCAATGGGCTAAGCACACTGCAATGCACACCTTGCATGCAAGAGGCCTTGGGTTTGAGCCACAGAACAGGGTCCCAAGCATTGCTAGGAGCAACGCCCAGCATCAATAGGCGTAACCCTCTCCCCCAAGCCCCCAAAACAAGTGAAATAAAAATAACTGTCTAACTGCAGCCAAGACAAAAGACTCCTGATCTGATTCAGTAAATAGAAAGTGCTTTTGCTACAGAAATGAGACACTAATCTGACGATCATATTAAAAAAAAAAATCTCTTGGGGGTGGGTGGTAGAAAGATAGCACAGTGTGTAAGACCCTTGCCGTGCACATGCCTTACCCACGCTCTACACTCTGGCATATAGGATCAGGGAACCTAAACGGCTCCCCGAGGGCAGGAGTGATCCCTGAGCAGAGTGTCAGTAGTAAGCCCTGAGTACCATCAGGTGAGGCCACCCCAAAAAAGAAAGGGGCGGTGAGGGAAGCAGAAAGAAAAGGAGGGGGAAGGGAGGGAGAGAAGAAAGGAGGGAAGGAGGAAAGGAGGGAAGGAGGGAGGACAGAAGGAGGGAGGGAGGGAGGGAGGGAGGAAGGAAGGAAGGAAGGAAGGAAGGAAGGAAGGAAGGGAAGGAAGGAAGGGAAGGAAGGAGGGAAGGAAGGAAGGAAGAAAGGGAGGAAGGAAGGAGCGAATGGAGACCAAAGTGGTAGTACAGGGGCTGGAGCGATAGCACAGCGGATAGGGTATTTGCCTTGCACGCAGCCGACCCGGGTTCGATTCCCAGCATCCCATATGGTCCCCCGAGCACCACCAGGAGTTAATTCCTGAGTGCATGAGCCATGTGCATTGCGGGGTGTGACCCAAAAAGAAAAAAAAAGTGGTAGTACAGCGAGTAGGCGTTTTGCCTTGCTTGTGGCCCATCCAGGTTTGATCCCTGGCATCCCATAAGGTTCGCCCCAACAGCCAGGAGTAATTCCTTCGTGCGGAGTCAGGAGTAAACCCTGAGCATCGCTGGGTGTCATGGAAGGGAGAGAGGGGAAAGGAAGGTAGTTTGGTTCAATAAAACTGTTTTCAACTGGAACTTCTCATTAGTCACCAAAATCTCAGAGCCTTTCCCTGCTTACTTCTCAGGCACCCTTCCACAACCTACCTCTAAAATCCAAAGACAAACCTCAAACTTACTTAGAGCATCCCTCCAAACCATAGGGAAGGAAGGAGGGAAGGAAACATCCACAGGGTTATTTTGATTACTTCTCCTCAAAACAACCTGTTTCCACTGCAAGAGGACCGGGAGGGAGGCAGGAAGTATGTCAGGATGGACAGTTGTCAACTTGGCCTCAAAAGGTAAAAGTACTCCCTAAGCCCAACACTGAATTTAAATAAAGTGTACAGTATTTGTAAGGTGTAACAGTATAATAAACTTAATTGCCTCATTAGAGCCAAACAAATAAACTGCCGACTTAATAAAATGGTGGAATTAAGCCCTAAAGGTTGGTTAATAGGCGCATACTTTCTGAGAAGGTAAGTGCACTGGAGCCAGTGATTTTATTGCCACAACAAGGAAACTATGTTGCTTTTTTACAGAGAACAGAAGCTCAGCCAGAAGACAAAGTATCAATGAAGCAGAACAGGCTTTCAAGCAAGATTCTGAGAGGATCTGATTGGGTGTTTTTAACTATTCAAACAAAGGTAAAATCAAAAACAGCTTATTAGAGGATTTAAAAACCCTTAGTGGTTACCTCTCAGGAGGAAGATTCAGAATCCAAGGATAGTCTAGCAAGATCTTATAAAGGAAACAGTTCCTGCTAGAAAACGTCATTTTCTAATTACTAGAGAATGTAATTTTCTAATTACATTTCCTAATTTCTAATTCCTTATCTCAAAATAAGGGGCAGCATGCCAGGGAGATGGCTCAAAGGGCTGGAATGCCTGTTTTACATGTGAGAGCCCCTGGGTTGGATCCCTGGTCCCACAAGTCCCAGGTATAGCCAGGACCAAACTGCAAGCATTGGTGGGTGTGGCAAGCACTGGGGGGGAGGGGCAGGACACCTACAGACCACCTGCAGAAAAGCAGCAAAAGCAAACCGCACAGAATCACCAGGCAAATGACTTGGAAAATTAAATATCCAAGCAACCAAATTCATAAAGAAAACAAGAAAGAGTGCCCCCAGCCACCAAGAGAAAAAAAAAAAAACACAGCAGAACAGAGAAACAATTTCCCTCTTTTTGAGAAACCTAAAGGAAAAGCCTGTGACATTAGACGGTCACCTCAGTTTGCTAACAAACAGGAATGCCTAGGAGTAGAACCCTCAAACTACCAACTCACTCAAACCCCAGCCGGTCCTTGGAAGCTCTTCCCAGGGGACTTCCTTAAAGGGGTGGAGGGAGAGGGTAACATTTCTCACTCGAAAATACACCCCGGTGAGCCCTGAATACTAAAGCTTGGGGGGAAGCCGACTAGTTTCTGATCGATGTGCTCCTACAGATTCTTTCCACAGAAGCGAAATGCCGGAGCCAAAGCAGTTCCAACCCAGAGGAAGCCTTAGATCTCATCAGCCTGCATGGTGGTGAGGACTCGGCCTAAAGAGAGAACCGGTGCAAGTGAGTCGTGGGTCTAAAAGCCGAGTCTGAGGACAAATCATTTAAGTTTACACTTGTCATTCCAGAGCTAACCACAGGGAGGAGCGAGGGATTTGTAGACATTCCCAAGGGAGCCAACATTTGGCTGTTACCTGCAGCCCACCTAGCTAGATAAACCCACAATCCCAGCCAGAAGGAGACCCTTTCCCCGCCGGGCCCCCGAGTCTGCATCTTGGGCCCAGGACCACAAAGAGCCGCCCGACCCACGTCCGTCCCCCTTCCTTTCCTACCACAATTCTCCCCCTCTTCTCCTTTGTCGTTTCACACCCATTTCGCCCAGTACTTCGATTAAATGAGTCAAATCGGCCATCAAAGAAAAGTCAGCTCTTTGTAGGTTTAAGGCCAAAAAGAAGGGGAAAAAAATGCATTAATGAAATGACTGCAAAACAATCGTGCACACCACCAACTCCAGGCGCAGGCAAAATGACAATGGCAGAGTAAGTTCTATTAAGAAATTTTAAAAAAAAATCCTGAGCCGAGGGGTGGGGTGGGGTGGGGGGGCAGGTAAAAATCTAAAAACCAGGCATCACCAACAAAGAAAGGACAGGTCTTGGCACCATCCAAGTTTGCAAAAGGCAGTGGAGAAAGCTCGGAAGAGACCCCCCACCAAAGAGAAATCAATAAAAAAAAGCCAAATCTAGGGGGACTGGGGGTGGGGAAGGGGGTGCTGCCGGTCGAGCCCCGGGAACGCAGCGGGCGTGCGCAGGGCCGAGCCCCGCCACGAGGGCTGGCCGGGCTGCCTCCCTCCCGCGGTCGCCCCGCTGGCCCCGAGGGCCGCCCGCCCGCCCGCGCCGCCGCCGCCCGCTCCCGCCCCGGCCCTCACGCCGCTGCCCCAGCCCGCGGGGCCGCGCCGGCACGCGACGCGGGCGGAAGGTGCCGCTGCCCACATGGCCGGGCGCTCGGGGTCCCCCACCCCCACCCCGTCCCGGCGCCCCCGCCGCCCCGGCGCGCGCCCGCCCCGCAGCCTCACCTCCATGGAGACGCGCCAGCCCTGCATGGCGGAGAAGCCGTAGGGCAGCGGCAGGCGCGGGGCGCCCAGCCCGTCCCCGGAGCACTTGACCGTGTTGGGCTGCGAGAGGTAGGCGCCCATGGCGGCGGCCCGGCGGCCTCGCGACGCTGGCGAGCGGGGCGCGAGCCCGGCCGGCTCCGGAGCCAGAGCCCCGGGGTGGCGCGCGGCGGGAGCGGGGAAAGGCGCGAGGCCGGCCCGGGAGGCGGTAACGGGACCGGAGCCGCCGGCGAGCGGAAGCGGAAACGGCGCCTCTCCCAGACCCCGCCCGGCCGGCGCGGCGCGGCGCGGGGCGGCGCTGGGCACGGGCATTTCCTTAGCAACTCGCCCCGCCCCCCGGGGCAACGGCCCGCCCCCCGCGCCGGTCTCGCGAGACTGCCGCGGCCACGCCCACCAACGGCCGCCGGCGGCGCGCCTGGGCTGCCCCGGTCGCCGCCGCCTGCGCCGCCGCCGCCGCCCGCCGCGCTTCAGCCTCGTCTCGGCCGTCGTGGCCGCGCGTGGTGGCTTTTTGGGGCGTTTCTCCTGGGTTGGGGTCTGAAGTCATTCTGTGGCACCCGGTGCTCCGCCCCTGGCGCCGTGCCCTCGGGTTCCGGTTCGGTTCTCTGAAAATTGGGTCGTGTTGGTTCGGGGGGAGCGCCTCGGCCCCGGCCGGGCCCCGTGTGGCCTGTCAGAGCCGAGCGACGCCCCTGACCCGGGGGACGGGCGGCGACCCGCGTCTGTGACATCAGCCCGCCCGCGCCGTGCCGAAAGAAGTCTCTGGCCCGGTCTCTGGCGGGCGAGCAGCGGCCCAGGCGGGGGCCGGGGACGCGGGGGGGCCGCGCCCCTCGGGGGCCTCCCCCGAGCCTTCCGCCCCGGGCGCGGGGCACCGAGCCGCGAGCTTCCCCTGGCGAGGAGGGAGGACGTCGGGGAAAGCCATGTCGAGGGAGGGTCCAGCCACAGGCCCAGATGCTGGGGGGGGCTTGGACCTCGCTGTGGTCCCCGCGCTGAAGTCGGTCGGTGGACCACCTGGAGACTGGACTGGAGCCCGCGCTCCTGATTGTGACTGAGGTGGTGACGGGGAACCAGACTGAAAGACGCGATGGAGTGATGATGGACTGGATTCAGGGAGGGACGGGAAAGGGGGACAGACTAGCACCTCAGCGAGTCTCTGACAGACCAGACGATAAGCCTGACTCCCGACCTGCTCGCTAACACTTTGGCAGGGATGCCTGACCCTACTCTTAACGTGTCTTGCCCGCTTTTTGTTTTATAATGTAGGAGCACAGCTGTTTATTCAGCCGTTGGTTCTTGCCCACTTTTCAACTCCCTTTCCACCCCCCCCCCCTCCACCCCCATCTCAGTTTTTCGGTTATATCTCTGGGTTCCTCCAAAACCAAGCTTTCCCCTGGCCTTCTACAAGCCCTGTAAACGCCCCTTCCCTATCCGCTTCGCCAGACTTCCCCGCCCGCCCCCCCACCCCCCAGGAAGTCGTTCAGGTCTCAACACGAGTTTGGTGGCGGTTGTCTTTTTCCTGATCCACCACGAGCCTTTGAGATGGAAGAAACTGTCAAACTTGGGCCGGAGAGCTAGCACCAGGGTTAAGTCACTCACTTGCCTTGCACCCAGCTGACCCAGGCTCAAATTCTGATGGTCCCTCCAACGCGGAATTGATTACTGAGCACAGAACCAGGAGTGAACTGAGCACTGCAGCTGTGCCACCCGTCTTCCCTCAAGGATGTCAAAGTTACATCCTATAACGGCAGCACCCCTAGCACAGTTCTGGTTTGTGCTCAATAGTATTTAAGCATTTGGTGAAATAACACCAGAGAGGAGTTCCCCCCCCCCTCCCCAATATCTGCCAGTGCTCCCGCCTTGCTCCTGGCTCAAGGTCCCCTTAGCACATCAAGGGTAGCCGCTGCCCACCTCCCTGAAAAGAATGAATAACAGCAATGTTTGACCTTGAATAACAAAAAAATTAGTAGAGCTGTTAACTCTGTGTGTGTGTGTGTGTGTGTGTGTGTGTGTGTGTATATGAAAACTTTTATTGGAACTTGAACCCAGGGCCAAGTTTGGGGGTGGGGGGTGGGTGGGAATTAGGAGTTTGGGTGAAGATGACAATTACTACACAAGCATGAAAAATACTGAAATTATGAGAGTAGAAGATGTAATTAGGCTTTCATGTCTTCATGGAACTGTCTGAGATCTTTGGCAAAGTGTAATAAGTAACATGAAATCCCCTTTTTTACCCCCAAGAACGGAATGGGGCATTAAGAAGCACAGGTTTTGACATACATTTATTTTTTCACAATATACTTGAGGTTTTGCTTTTTTGGTATGTATGTTTTGGGGTCACACCCAGCGATGCTCGGGTTACTCCTGGCTCTGCACTCAGGAATTACTCCTGGCAGTGCTTAGGGAACCATATGGGAGGCTGGGAATTGAACCCTGATTGGCTGTGGTGCAAGATGAACACCCTCCCCACTGTACTATCACTCCTGTGCCACAAGCTACTTATTTAAAACGCAGTTCTTTATCTGTAAAACAGACATACAGTATCTCTTTTTCAAGATTAAGGTTAAAAGGAACTGGATATATATAAACTGCCAAATTTATATACATTTATTATTAACCAAAAGACTTGACATTGTTTTATTTATACACACTAAATATGGAATGGAAATGACATTAACTTACATTTACAATATATGCCTAAAATAAAGTGGGAGAAAAATAGGCAAGGGTAAAAGTAGAAAGATGACTCAAGGAAAAATGCAGTATGAGGGCACAGACATCTCAGCAGACATGGGGATAAAAATGGAGCTTACGAAGGGGCCAGAATGGTAGTACAGTGGGTAGGGCGCTTGCTCTGCATGCTGCAGACCCACGTTCAGTCCCCTGAACCGTATACTGTTCCTGAGCATTGCTGGTAGCGATCCCTGAGTGAGTGTAACCCAATGTCCCAAGCCCCTAATGGGCCTCATTAAACAAGAGAAAGTGTTCAATGGATTCAGCACATGCTTTGCTTGCAGGAGGCCTGAGTTTGAACCCTGGCACCCCATAGTTCCCCAACACCACTGGGAGCACCCCCCAAACACCATCAGGTGTGGTTCCAACACAATAAGAAGGGGGGAGGCACGCATTGAAAGAAATGAGGGGCTGGAGCGATAGCACAGTGGGTAGGGCGTTTGCTACCCGGGTTCGATTCCCAGCATCCCATATGGTCCCCCGAGCACCGCCAGGAGTAATTCCTGAGTGCAGAGCCAGGAGTAACTCCTGTGCATTGCCGGGTGTGATCCAAAAAGCAAAAACAAACAAAAAAAGAGACAAAAGCATATGATTACCCTGTTACTCTACCCCCTCCTTCGACTCCATACCACCAGAGTACTCCTTCAAGGACACAAAGTTTTTACTCTTTAGCAGGGAGTAAAATGTTAGTTTAAAAAAAAAATTCAGAGAGGGGGTATGGTGCCGCCAGCAGGTCAGTCTGTACCTGTGAGGCGAGTGCATCAGCAGCCTGATGGCGCCTTCAGACTTCCAGATACCCCAAAATTGCTGCTGTGACTTTGGCCAGACTCAAAAAACTTGGGGCAACATTTACCAAGAAAGTAAACGGCCAAAAGTTAGGTATGTGGGAAACACACCTACAAACCACCTCTGGCTCAGCTATATAATTGGAGGCATGGCCTCTCTGGTTCTTGATTGAACTGCTTAATGGCCATGATCCCAGAGACTCAGAAAGAAATCTCGAAACCTAGCAGCTTTTGGTAGAAATACGTCCGATCCCTGCAGTAGGTTACCAGTGCTGAGCCAACCGAGGTGGAAATAGGTTTTGTGCCTTGGCCTGTTCCCCCTGGCGGCCCAATGACCACCATCACTGGACAGTCAGGTTTGGGCCCCCAGTGACGAGACACATGGGGCCTCATGGGATGGGGATGGAGCCGGTCCTGTCCTCCCCACCCCAACGAGTCCCCAAGTCATCACCCACGAATGGCCTCTCTGTCTCCTGAACAAGTTGCTTAACGGCCATGATCCCAGAGACTCAGGAGCAAATCTCGAAACCCAGCGGCTTTTGGCAGAAATGCGTCCGGACCCCACAGTACTTTACTGTCACCGGGCCACCCCAGGGAGGAAAGGGTGTTGTCCCTCCGCCTGCTCCCTCTTGGCGACTTGGTGGCCGTCATCCTCCAGAGGCTATTGGACAGTCAGGCTTGGGCCTGCAGTGACGATACTTGTTGGGCCTCACGGGATGGGGGGAGCCGGGCCTGTCCTCCCCACCCCAAAGAGACCGCAAGTCATCACCCACGAATGGCCTCTCTGGCTCCTGATCAAGCTGCTCAGTGGCCATAATCCCAGAGACTCAGGAGCAAATCTCGAAACCCAGTGTCTTTTAGCAGAAATCGCTCCAGGTTTAAGTGTCAAAATTTCAGAATTTCAAAATCAAATGGCCCTACTGCAGTCACACAACATCATATGTTATTCGTAACCAGCAATAGAACACAAATTGTCTACTGTTGCCTTTTCAGCAGATCTGAGTGTTGGGGTAAAATCTCAATAATGGTGGGTCTGGTGTCGAAATATTGAATGTGATCAAAGTAGAGAGAGAGTAGTGTGGAAATCATCTGCCCCACAGGTAGGGGGAGGGTGTTGGATGGGAGTATACTGGGGTTGTTGGGGGTGGAGAATGGGCACTGGTGAAGGTACGGGTATTTCATTGTATGACCGAGACTTAGACCCGAAAGCTCTGTAACTGCTCTCACGGTGATTCAATAAATAAAATTATAAAAAATGAAAAAAAAAGGGCTGGAGCGATAGCACAGGGCTGGAGCGATAGCACAGCGGGTAGGGCGTTCGCCTTACACGCGGCCAACATGGCTGACCCGAGTTCGATTCCTCTGCCCCTCTCGGAGAGCCCGGCAAGCTACCGAGAGTATTCGATATGCCAGACACAGTAACAACAAAGTCTCCAATGGAGACGTTACTGGGCCTGCTTGAGCATCGAAAAAACAGTAAGGTGGAGTTCATGCATAATTCAGTCAGCTAATCAGTGGCTGAGTAAATAGCAGTACTCCTACATAAAAAAAAAAATTCAGAATTTCCCTAGTCTAAGCATTGCAAAAAGTAGCAATTATCAAAGACGATAAAAGAAGTAGTAACTGAACATGTACTTTAGGAACTGGTAGAACTGTTCTTTAACAAGGGCTAAAGGCACAAAAGGACTGGAGTGATAGCACAGCGGGTGGGGCATTTGCCTTGCATGTGGCTGACCCGGCTGACCCGGGTTCAATTCCTCTGCCCCTCTCAGAGAGC